TGTGGCCATTTGGAGAGTGAACCAGCAGATGGAAAACCTATTTTTGTCTCTCCCTCTCTTACTAAACCTTTCATATTTTTTTAAAAAAATCCCCACAACTAAAGAAACAGCAACAACTATTAGAGTAACATTTAGCACCATCTCTCTTTTGTTTCTATTGGTTGCTTATAAGTTTGCCCCCTTCCACCAGTTTGTGAGCTCTTCGAGCAAAGAATATCTTCCTGGTATCCCTAGTGCCCAGTATAGTGTCTTAGTACAATGGGTAACTGGACAACACTTGCTGAATTGATTTGAAAAGGCTATTGCCTTGGTCTATTTGTCTTTTGAATAGCCATGTGATGACCAGATCAGTTGGGGAACTGAGAAGCTAAAAATTATTCTAATGCTGTTTTTTTTTTCTTTCTAATGCAGGGCTTCAGACATTCCTGAGAAGTTTAAAGAAGCATTAAGAACAATAGATCTGAAAAAAGGTTTGTTTATTTTATTCTCACATTTTACAATGTTTTATAATTGGGTGAATATTAATTTACAAACTCAGTTTAGGTTAGCATAGTAAACTGTTTTTAGTTTGAATCAGTTTACAGACTGAATGAATTTTAAGTTTGAAAAATAAAGATAGAGAAGTGGTTTAAATCATAGGACACAGAACTTCAGTTTATACTAGTAGAAGTATTTTGGATTATTTCATTTATATAGGTTTCATGTACCCAGATTTCTTGAAAGTTGCTTGAGGCCAGAAATACACCTGGGATTTCTTTTCTCTTCCATAACATCTTCTCAGTAAATACCTCTGAGTTAATCATTTGAAAACTTTCCAATGTGCGGAAATAAATCTATTGATCTAGAATTCTCCTGGAAATAGTTAAATCTATTTAAGTTTTAGAGGTTGTGGTATGCTATGGCAATGCTTGCCAAAGGCTTATCCCAATATTCATTTCTGCCTTCATCCTTAGAAAACATTTGGGATTTCACAGCTGTGTCCCTTGTTATTCACAAGACTATTTCCTAGTTCCTTTACTGCAAGATGGAGTTATGTATCTGTGTTCTAGCTGATAAGATATGGGTCAAAATATGTGGAATTTCTGGAAGCGTGCTTAAAATCCCACCTAAAGCAACTGATTCCATTGGGAAGGATGATTTTTATATTCTGCAATTCCTTTTACTTTTTTTTCTAGCATGCAACTCACACATAATGACTGGAACTCCTACAGTCATCTCACATCATGAGTGAATTTGATTATGGAAACCATGGCCTGGGATTGTGGGGAAAAACAAAGAAGCTAGGATTGAATCTTAACTCTGCTTTTGATTTGAGCATCTGCTAACATGTACCCTGGGAAGTGGAAGGTCATGGCTCAGGTACTTGGATCCTTGCCATCCACAAAGGAGACCCAGGTTGTATTTTGGACTCCTGGCTTCAGCTAGGCCCAGCCCTGGCTATTGCAGGCATTTGGAAAAGTAAACCAGTAGATGGACTATCTCTCTGTCTCTATTTCTGTTTCTCTCTGCCTTTCAAATAAATATTTTTTAAAATATTTATAATATATTGTTAGATGAAAAAGGACTATTTTCAAAACGTGCTTCGTGAAATAATGACACTGTGTTGGAGTTGTTATACTTGTTCTGAATTATCTATCTCTGGGTTTCTTTTACGCACTTTAAACACTGCTATTTTGAACTTTTCTGAATTTTCTTATAATCTTTATTTATTTATTTGAGAGGAAGGGAGGGAGGAGAGGGGAGGGGAGGGGAGGGGAGAGGGAGGGGAGGGGAGGGGAGGGGAGGGGAGGGGAGGGGATAGGAGAGGAGAGGAGAGGAGAGGAGAGGAGAGGAAAGAGAGAGAGAGAGAATAAGAGAGACAATGAGCTAGCTCCCATTGGTTAGCTCTCCAAATGCTCACAATGGCCAAGATTGTGCCAGGTCAAAGATGGGAGATGAAAACTAAAGCCAGGTCTCCTGTATGAATGGGAGGAACCCAATCACTTGAATTATCACTCCTCTCAGAGTCTGCCTTAGCAGGAAACTGGAATCAGTTGCCAGAGCTAGGAGCGAAACCCAGGTATTCTGATATGAGATGTGGACATTTTAACGGCATTTTAACCACTAAGCTAAACATCCACTATGGACTTTTGTGGTTTTATACAGATGTACTTAATCCTAATTGATACATAAATATTTAATTTGTCAGTAGTTCTCAAAGACTGCATACCACAAAAACTTTCATTGTTTTCAGAAAGCACAATTGTCTGGGCCATACTTGGAAGTTTCTGAATCAAAACTTACAAAATTTACAGGTTGGGCCTCTAGCAGGAACATTTATAATTATCTATATGTACATATAAATATAAAATCATAGGTTAATAAATTAGGCAACTTAGCACATTTGTAGTTACATAGTTATATATTACATATAGTTATTCAGCTATATACAGTATATTATTTAATGGAGAGCTTTCATAATTGTCACTTATATTCCTTTTGCTCTTATAGGGTTAGTAGTAATGTCCTCTCTTTTATTCCTGATTTTAGTAATTTCTCCTTTCTACTGGTCAAACTATTGTCACTTTGTTGATTTTTTTTCTCATTTACTTTTAATTTCTATTGTTTTGGTTTTGTTTTGTTCTGTGCTCTACCTTTGTTGTTTCCTTCCTTCTGCTATTTTAGGTTTACTTTGCTCTTTGTTTTTTGCGTATCTTAAGATAAAGGGAAAAACTATTGATTTGAGATCTTTCTTTTTTTTAATATAGGTATTATAGCTATAAATTTTCCTCTAAACAGTGCTTTAGCTGCACCATGAATACATTTTCAAAGCCCTGCAGAGAATTTTGATATGCACATTTGGTGAGAATATGCTGTACTTCTTTTGTCACTGTAAGGTTTCCATTTTTTTTTTTTTTCATTTTCATTTTCTCTGGTCTTTGGAATAAACAAAGCTTTTCCTACAAAGCAAAATGCCTTGGCTTGAGGCTGATTAGATATTGCAGAAAGACTCTTGTTTGCAACTCAAGGATTCCTTTCATAATCTAATCTAAAAATTTTTACCTGATATTCTTCTTTGAGAAGTGAAAACTTCCTTTAAAGGGCACTTTCAGTTGGAAATTTTCTTCTCTGCCTATATATCTACCATGCATTTTTGCAGTCCTGAAACAATGATATCCTGTATGTAGAAGTTAGCTAATAGTGAAACATCCCATTCCCCCCTACACTCCCCCTTATTTGGCCTGTGTGCTTTCCTATATGCCTTGCTTTTTCCATAATTTGGCAGCAGTATCAGCCACTGCACGTGACAAGTGACATCATTGCTATAATGAGAATTCCAAGCAACACCACTGGATCAAAGCCCATCTGTGTGCCTGCTCCCACACTTGACAAAACAAATTCCAAATTCATTCAGCATGCCGGTGCCATTTAGTCACTGTGACATATCCCAAATTTTGGACTCTATGCAAAAACCAATCTGTGCCCACAAAATTAATCATGGAACACATTTTATGACGTTTGACAACAACTTAAAAGGTTTTCATCTCTGGCAGGTGGCTCTGCCAGTCTGCAAGTATGTTCATGACAAATTCTGAACAATATATTTTGTGTCTGAAAATTCATCTTGCAGGATGCACACCCTGGAGAGAACCAGCACGAGTCTGACCAATTCTGAAGTATTTTTCAGGGACACATAAGCCATACTGCTGTCTTGTGAAGGAAGGATGATGGCCCCAGGTAGTCATAGAAAGCCAAAGAAAAGGCAACAGCTCGTGTGCCAGTAGATGCTGAGAACACTGGCACAATTGCCTGTGTTGGCAGGACCAGGAGTTTGAGATGGCTAATTTAAGCGACAAGATCCTGGCAAACAGATTTATTTAGGGCAAGGGTGCGTCAGGAAGATGCCAGAAAAATACATCAATCTGTGCCTTTAGATGTACTATGGAGTGATGATGAAACAATTGACATTAAAAAAGTCAACCCTTACACTTTAAAATAATCTGCAATTCATCCTAACAAGAAGTAGGGTTTACTTTAGATCTCTAGAACTTCAAGATGGGGTTTTATGTTTTGATCTGAGATTTGTGATAAAAGTTCCCTTCAAAAGATGTGCTTGAAGAGATCTCCTCATCTTCCTATGTTTAAGTGATTAGACCAAGTATTTTTATATATTATTTAATTCATTTTAAAATGAAGCCTATTTTACATGACAATACCATTAAATAAATGAAACCATTTATCCAACATTTTACTTTTCTGAAGCATATGTCAGAGAACCTCTGTTGAGGAAAAAAAAAAAAAGGAAAACGAAAGTTGTTTTTTTTTTTTTTTAATTATTTATTTGAAAGGCAGAGTTACAGAGCGGCAGAGATAGAGAAAGAGAGAGGTCTTCCATCTGCTGGTTCACTCCCCAGATGGCCACAACAGCTGGAGCTACACGGATCCAAAGCAAGAAGGCAGGAGCTTCTTTTGGGTCTCCCACGCAGGTGCAGGGGCTCAAGCACTAAGGCCATCTTACACTGCTTTCTAAGGCCATAGCAGAGAGTTGGATGGGAAGTGGAGCAGCTGGGACTCGAACCGGTGCCCATATGGGATGCTGGCACTGTAGGTGGTGGCTTTTACACACTATGTCACAGCACTAGCCCCGAGAAATGAAACTTTAAAACTTTAGTTGTACTGTTAGAAATCTAAATGCATCCCTTTAATTAAGAAAAATGTTCTATGCAACGTACAAAATTGTTTTTAAATGTGTATTTCATACAGTATGATTATTTGTGTATGGCTTGATAGAGAACAAAATAGAAATTCCACTTGCAGCATCTTGCTTCCCCATATTATGTTCCACTTTTCCTAAATTCCCTAGACAACCCTCTACCCCAAGCTTACCCCACCAACTCCTCTTTACTCTTTATTAATGCTATCTAGGTACAGCATCTTTACAATGTCTCAGGTTAAGAAAGCTTTCAAATCCAGACAGCCTGGTTAGGACTCTATTTGTTCTATAAAGACAAAATACTCACGAGCTGGCTTTCACTGGGATTTGTCTGGACGCAACCTTCCTGTTCTAATCTGAAAGTTCCTCTTCATCTGTGGCAGGAAGTAAAGTGAGGAAGCAACAGGTGAAGGGTGCTTCCACAGGAAGAGCAATTCTTAATTAAGAGACACAGTGATTTAATAACCTGGCATAGGCATAAAGGCAAAAGCACTTCTCCCTCCTTTGTGCTAATAGTCTTCTTTGAGATATAGGATACCACTCCATTTTCTCTTTTGTCAAGTGAAGGAATTGGACTTCTAGATGTCTCCCAAGTTTAATATTCTGGGACTTACCAGTTAGGGGGAAACATTTTGGGGATTTTTCATTATATAATAGTTGATTCTTTAATATTTTATATGTTGAGTATAAGTGGATTGCTAATTAGAACCATATTTTCCTTCCCAAAGTAGCTCCTAAAACTTTTTTCTTCCTTACCTACACCTCATAATTATAACATTAATTTTAAGATTTATGTGTTTACTTATTTGAAAGGCAGAGTGACAGAGCGTAGAGGAGAGAAAAGGAGAGAGAGACAGAAAGCGAGAGAGTTCTTCCATTCACTACTTCACTCCCCAAATTGCCACACTGGTCAGGGCTGGGCCAGGCTTAAGTTGGGAGCCAGGAACTCCATCGGGTCATCCACATGGGTGAAAGGGGCTCAAGTATTTGGGCCATCTTCCACTACTTTCCCAGTTGCATTAGCAGGGAGCTGGACCTGAGTAGAACAGCCAGGACTCAAACCAGCACTCCAAGGCAGCAGGCTCACCTGCTCTACCACAATGTTGGCCCCTGACATGAATTTTAAAATCAGCTAGAAATGTTGCCCTTTATGCAAGGACACTTTATCTTTTTATAATGGAAATAATTCCCTCAATAACACATCTCTGCAGTTTTGCGAAGAAAAAGAATTTTAGGAGGAAGAGACCCTAACAATCACATTTTGAACCCCAAACACAGGTCAGGCTGGCTGAGTTAGAATCACAAGAAAGTTTTCAAATGTAGATTCCCAGGGCCTTTTCACAGATTCTGGTTTATTAAATCTATGAAGCTCAAGGGAATTTGTATTTAAATAAATATATGCTATATTACTTACTGTATGAGTACAGTAATTAATTATGGTTAAGTAATTTTCATGTACAGACCTTATTCAGTGGTGTTGACAGATGAGGAAACAGGTCTAGAGCAAGACTGATATTCTCAAGATCACACTATCACATGGTGGCCCTGCTATGATTAGAAACCAGAGCTTCTGACATTTACTTCAGTGCTTTCCCACGTCCAGTTGCTACTCCTATGGAAACTGAAAGGTCTTCCCCAAATATATACGTAATATATTTTACTACATACACCAAATGCATTGTCTGCCATGCCCAGCCTTTATTTCATTTCATTTTTTTTAAAAGATTAATTTGTTTATTTGAAAGAGTTACAGAGAGGGAGAGGCAGAGAGAGGTCTTCCAACTGCTGGTTCACTCCTGAAATGGCCACAACAGCTAGGGCTGAGCCAGGCTGAAGCCAAGAGCCAGGAGCTTTACCCAGGTCTCACATGTAGGTGCAGAGGCCCAAGGATCTGAGCTTTCTTTCACTGCTTCCCCAGGCACATTAGCAGGAAGCTGAATCAGAAGTGGAACAGCCTAGACTTAAACTGGCACCCATATGATATGCCAACCCACTATGCCACAGCACTAGTCCCAATGCTCAGCCCTTTCTAAAGGAAGATGTTCTGCCCACAGTCCTATCAGAGCCCTAGGTTAATCATTACCTCTATTCCATAACGCACAGTTGATGGAACCAGAGCTGAGTATTCAATCAAAGGTAGCAAACCCATGGAATGACTACAGTTCCTAGGATTCAAACATCTGATAATGCAAATTAATAAATCTAACAAATGAAAATTGTTTAATAACTAAAAATTACTTCAAACCTAGTAAGTCTGTGCTTTCAAACATTCACATAGTTTTTGCAGTCAAGATTTTTAATATCCTTTATGTCCAAATCCCGAAAGCAAACATTTCAAATTGAAAATACAAGGCTGTGGCTGATGTTGTGGCTCAGTGAGTTAAGCTACCACTTGAGAAATGGGCATCCCACATTGGAACACTGATTCAAGTCCTTGCTACTCCACTTCTAACCCAGTTCCCTATTGATGTGCTTGGGAAGAGAGTAAGTAGACCAAGTACTTGGGCCCCTGTCTCTCTTTTTTTTTTTTTTTTAAGATATTTTTATTTTTTATTTGACAGGCAGAGTTTACAGACAGTGAGAGAGAGAGACAGAGAGAGAAAGGTCTTCCCTCCGTTGGTTAACCCCCCAAAATGGCCGCCTACGGCCGGCGCTGCACCGATCCGAAGACAGGAGCCAGGTGCCTTCTCCTGGTCTCCCATGCAGGTGCAGGGGCCCCTGTCTCCTAAAGTGGGAAACCTGAATAAAGTTCCAGTCTCTTTGTGGCCATTTGGGCACTGAACCAGCAGATGGAAAAATCTCTTTTTTTTTTTTTTTTAAGATTTTATTTATTTATTTGAGAGATAGAGTTACAGTGAGAGGGAGACAGACAGAAAGGTCTTCCGTCCATTGGTTCACTCCTCAGGTGGCCACAATGGCCGGAGGTGTGCCAATCCGAAGCCAGGAGCCAGGAACTTCTTCCAGGTCTCCCATGTGGTGCAAGGGCCCAGGGACTTGGGCCATCTTCTACTGCTTTCCCAGGCCACAGCAGAGAGCTGAATCGGAAGAGGAGCAGCTGGGACTAGACCCAGCGCCCAGCGCCCATATGGGATGCCGGTGCCGCAGGCAGAGGATTAACCTACTGTGCCATGGAGCTGGCCCCATAAATAAATCTTAAATAAATACATACAAGGCTAATAAAAGTTGAAGATTTCAAAATATATTAAACACTATACAATATTCTGGTTATTAATTTTATCATTACGTTTCATTTTTATTAAAATTTATTCTTTTAAAACATCAAATAGCATTACAAGGTTTACAACTAAATAAAAATAAAGTGTTTTATCACCCTCTGTACTTTCCATCACTTTGTGGTATGCAGTTAATCTATTTTGTATTCTATATTTCCTTCCTCATCCAACATTTTAGATTTTTAGTATTAATAATTATTTCATTTACCCCCATTTGCTTAAGTTTCTATGTGCTTGTCACCAGTTCTTCCCTGAACTCTCCACTAAAACTGTTTGTGTGGTATCAATATGGTCACCCATGGAGCAAGCTGTTTGGGACACTGTACCCCATATTAGAGTGCCTGGGATCCAGTTTCCTCCTAATGCGCCTAGTAAGCAGTAGATGATCGCTCAATTACTTGGGTCCCTGCCACCCATGTGAGAGCCCTGGATTGAGTTCTGTCTCCAGGCTTTGGCCTGGCTCAGCCCTGGCAGTTGTGGGCATTTAAGGAGTAAACTAGAGGGCAAAAAAATCTTTTTGTCACTTAACTTTTCAAATAACTAAACAAACAAAACTTTAAAAATAATCATGGCCAAGGGACAGGCATTGGGGCACAGCTTGACACCTGTATCGGATCTATGAGCACTGGCTGAGGAGAGTCCTGGCTGCTCTACCTCCCATCTAGCTTCCTGCTAATACATCTGGGCAGTCAGAAGATGCTAGCATAAGAACTTGGATCCTTGTCACCCATATGAAGTTGTGGGAAACCCAGATGAAGTTCTGGCCTTCTTGGGATAGTGAACCAGCAGGAAGAAGAACTCTCTCTCTCCCTGTGTCGCTCTGTCTTCAAATAAAGAAAATAAAAATTTTTAAAAATGGTCATCCACATTGGTGAATTGCAAATTTCATTTTTTTTTTCTTGGTGACATCCCATTTAGTCTTCTGCCCTGCTCCAGTGTGACTGAGCCACCACTCTGCAAGCCATCTGCATGGGCTCCCCTGAAAAATGCTGATAATTAATTTGCTGTGTCATTTTGACTGTTACGGGATGCTCAGATGCTAGGTCAGTGAGGCTGTTTCTAAATGACATTAGCATTTGAATCAGTAAACTAAGATCACCCTCATTGATGTGGGTGGGCATCATCCAATCAGTCTTTCAGACAACTGAGATATCCATCTTTTCCGAATTCCTTGTCAGGACTGCACACTCGGACTAAGATTCACAACACTAGCTTCCCTGGGCTCAGGCCTTGGAGTCTGGATTGGAACTACATCCCCATCTTTCCTGGGTCTCCAGCTTTCGGACAACAAATCTGCACAATCACCCGAGCCACTCAATCCCTCAGGGTAAGTCTCTTTGTACGTAGCTATTTATAGTCTTTTGGTTCTGCTTCTCTGAAGCCGTTTCTCTATCCTAGGTGAAGCCAAGGGTTTCAAGTAAGAGGTATGAAACCTGTACCAAGGTGTTAGAGTTGGGAAAGGGGCTTTTCTTAATCTTAGTTGGTCGACACCAGAAGCTAAGGAGTGAAGCCTACCTTAAACTCCCACGCGCAAATACACCTACACTGGAAGCGCCGGGAAGCACCTCGCCACCCGCCTGCTCTCGCGATACCCGCTAGTCCTCGCCCTTCCGGCTCCGGTAGGCCCCGCCCCTGCCTCAGCGCCTCTGTCGTCATTTCCTGTGGGTCTGCAGGCTAAAAGAGAAGATGGCGGCGCTGGGGGAACCTGTACGGCTAGAAAGGGGTGAGTGCGGCCAGGGTCCGGACGGAGGTGGGTGGAGGGTATGTGAGAGTGCCGTGTCGCTGGAAGTGAGGAGGGAAGGTCTAGGTCCCGAGATCCAGAGCCAGGCCGTCCATGGTGTTGGCGCATGCAACCGTCTACGTCGCTGTGCGCGGCTCCCGGGAGTGAGCTTAAGGTCTTTTGATTGATATCCAGCCCCGCTCTGTTCAGCACGGACTGTCCGGGTGTTTAGCACTGTTAAACACAACCTTGCCCGCGTTCGCATACAGGCACGGCACATGGGCTCCATGGGTGGCCACAGCAGACGCGGCATTTGGAGACCTGTAAGCTCTAAAAGCAAACGTCACACGCTGTGTTCCGACCGACTACACTCGAACCCATGCACGCGCAAAACCCCGTGTCCCCGCCTTCACCCACATATCACACACTTAGCAGACACGGCACCTCCTCCAGTGCCCCGCTTAGTGCACAAACCGCATTGCTTTCACCCCAGCGTCACTTGTGTTTGGAAACTAGCTTTGCTTTTCCTTTCAGTAAAGGAGAGGATGCTTTAAGAACGATGCTACTGACTTGATCTTGGGAAGTTTATACAACTAGATGGAATAGTGAGTGACACTTGCAGGTGCCATGTTATGCTTTCTTTACAAACACTACAATTGCAAACTGTGGCAGGTTGATTGCTTCTTAGATTGTGAAGGAAAATAAAACCTGTTCCACTGAGTAATGTAGAGAGGAATCGGCCTGTGAAAATACCCGACTCTGCCCCTACCAGCTTCCTGATACAGATTTCCAATATTCCACTCCTGCATCCTCCTCAAATCGTTTTTTTCAAGCAGATTTTAAACACAACAGCATTAGAATCCTTGAAAATAATCAAGAAGTACAAGGTAAGTATTTTGAATACTGTTGGGAAACAAAGCATAGAGTGGAAATTGAAATTATTTTGCACATTGTCACATTTGGTCAAATTTGCAGTTATAGTTATTAATATCCTCTAACAACAATATACATTTTTAGAATTATTGTACTTCTGTCATATCATCCCACAAACAAATGTGTACTTTCAATTGTAAATTTACTCCTTATGGTGTTCACCATTTGGAAGCCTCTTTGTATATGAGATTGTTACTGTTCAGCCCACCAGGCTGTTAATTAAAGCAGCACTCTATGACAGGGGCGTAGCTAGACCTAAGACTGTACATCTTCCTTGCGAATGCAATGGCATTGTGCTTTGTAGATAGAAACAAATCTGTTTGGTGTTAACAGGAGGAGGTATTTTTCTATGAAAGGTGTTTGTAGGATTCTAAGTTAGCATATTTTTGTATTTTTAAGTACAGTGCAAAATGTGTGACAGAAATTAGAAAATACATAGAGCCTCTAGCTCATGTGGAAAGAAATGTGATATTCATTTTGAATTTATAGTTGTTAAACACTTTTGAACTTTTCTATAGAACTAAGGGCCAGAAGGTTTTCAGGGGCAGTAAATCTTCATACTCTAAAGGCAAACTTATTTTTTTAATTTAAAATTAGTACCAAATCTGGTGTACTGTTTGGAAAATATTGTTTTTAAATGAGATTTTAAAAATTGATTCCACAGTAAATAGAATTTTTTAAATGTATTTATTTATTGGAGAGGCAGAGTTAGAGAGAGAGAGGAGGGGGGAAAGGTCTTCCATCCATTGGTTCACTTCCCTAATGGCCACAACAGCTGGAGCTGCGCTGATCGGAAGCCAGGAGCCAGGAGCTTCCTCTGGGCCTCCCATGTGGGTGCAGGGGCCCAAAGACTTGGGCCATCTTCTACTGCTTTCCCAGGCCATAGCAGAGAGCTGGATCAGAAGTGGAGCAGCCGGGACTAGAACTGGTGCCCCTATATGGGATGCCAGCACTGCAGGTGGTGGCTTTACCCGCTACGCTATAGCACTGGCCCCAATAGAACTGTTAATATCATTTTTTTTTAATTTTCATTAATCATATTTAGAAATAGAATTAAATTTTTGTGTATTTTGAAATGTAGAACTCCATTTCTGGAATTAGTGATGATTTTGTGTTTTGTTTTCCAAGTTTCTATAGTTCTACAATAGAATTCTCAGCACTATAGTAGAAATAAGTTAGTAGTGGTTCCATTTATCAAGATGAAGTCAGATTTCATCAACTTGTATGTAGAATTTTATCAGAGTCTACTAACAAACGCTTGCAATAATCTTATAAAATTAATGCCTGTGATCAAGATCCCAAGAGCCCTCTAAATCATCAAAACGTGATTCACTAGAAAACGAATTTGAGTACTTATCAGATACATTGTAGATTTAGTAAAGGGTGTTCTACTTTCTTAAATTTTTTTGTTAATTTAAAATTTTTACATGGCTCATGTGTTATAACTTTGCAAATAATTGGTGAACCAACTATCTCCATTATTAGCCTTTCTGGTGGTAGGAAATCATTGCATTTGATAAACATCAGTGTAAGATTTTATTATCTGAAATTGAAAAACCACGTTCCTTCTTTACTACATGTATTCATAATTTTCCAGCTGCAAATACAAAGAAGGCAATATTCTATGAAGAGGACTCTTCAGTCCTTAGGTATAACATGAAATTAGGAACTTCTTCCATTTCAGTCAGGACACAGGAAAGGAATAATAGCCAATACTCTGGTCCACTGGGGTACAAAAGCAGTTCAGAAAAAAAAGTCAGAATAGAGGTAGTTATAGTATTGGAACATGAGTCTGACTCTGAAACTTCTGAATTCGTAAGCATGTATCCTCACACTTCCCAATGAGAACTGACCGGCATGCTTAATGCATTTGCATAAATGTATTCAGCCTCTTAGTGTTGTGAGTAATTGGTGCCCATATAATTACATTTATGCATGCTAGGCCCTTTTTCATGTTGTTGTTTGTTTCAGTCATCAAGTAACTCTTAGGAAAATACAGTTGTCTCCATCTTACAGTACAAAAGAAACTGAGACACTGAGACATTAAGTGGCTTGCCCAGTTATATACAGATAGTGTTGAGGTGAAATTGGCAGTCATAGAGTTTTTATTTTTCTATTTTGTAAGCATGTATTTGATTGAACTTACCTGAATTAATACATTGATCCTAAGTTGAAAGCAGAGCAGTTAATTTTGTTTGTACTGTTTTAATCGGCTCCCTACCATTAACTACACCTGTTAATGAATATTTTGCATCTACATATGTGTCATGTTTTCAGTCAGGAATTGAATAGTGATTTCACCAGCACAAGGAAAATTATCCTGTTCAATGCTTTGGATGCTAATAATTTTTATTGACTAAATCATTCCTGGTAATGTGAGTACTGCCAGCTGTTCTGAAGCAGGACAGGCTCTATCACATTTGAGCCCCAGTCCTTTCTGGTGATATTCAGTTTTTTATTTTCAATTTGCCTATCTCAAAAGATTCCATTTCCTGGATTTTCTACCTTTTGCAACATGTATTTTTTCCTAATGTACTCTAAAATGTGGCATTCTCAGATTTTGCATTCCCACCTGCCATGTACGTACTTAGCCACACAAATCCTCCCCATATATGTGCATATGCACACTTTCCCCCTCTGTCTTCTATATATTTCTTGTTAGTCCTTGAGAAATGAATACTGTTCCACTGTCACATAGGCATATAGAGCATATAGAGAATCCTTGGAGAAAATTATCTATCAGTTTTTTTTTTTTTTTTTTAACTTTAGATATTTGTAGAGCAATTGAATTGTTGGAAAAACTGCAGAGAAGTGGGGAGGTACCACCGCAGAAACTCCAGGCTTTACAAAGAGTCCTTCAAAGTGAGTTCTGCAATGCCGTGAGAGAGGTAAGTAAATGTGATTCACATTTACTAAAATTTTGAACTGATTAGCCTCTGGAATTGGGGTGCAGAATATCCTTTTTTTTTTTTTCTTTTTTAAGTTTTTTGTTTGTTTGTTTGAAAGAATGACAGATGAAGAAAGAGAAATAGATCTTCCATCCACTGGTTCACTTCCCAAATGGCCACAATGGCCGGGGCTGGGCCAGGCAAAAAGCCAGGAGCCAGGAACTCCTTCCAAGTCTCCCACAGAGGGGCAGGAACCCAAGTACTTGGGCCATCTTCTGCTTTCCCAGGTGCATTAGCAGAGAGCTGGATCAAAAGCAGTGCAGTTGGATGGATGCTCTGAAGTCAGCATTGCAAGTGGTGGCTTAACCTGCTGTGTCACAATGCTGGCCCTGATTTCAGAATTTTCTTAATAAACTTTAAAAATAGAGTGGTGGTATTAGAAGAGAGATTAAGATGCTACTTGGGATGCTCACATCCCATGGTGTAGTACCTGGGTTTTAGTCCCAGCTCCACTTCTGGTTCTAGCTTCCTGCTAGTGTACTCCTTGGGAGGCAACAGATGATAGCTTGAATTCTTGTGTTCCTACTATCCACATAGAAGACCTGGATGGAATTCCTGTCTCTTACCCTTCTCCTGGCCCATCCTTGGCTGTTGGGGCACTGGAGGAGTTAACCAGTAATGGAATATCTGTCTCCATCTCCCTCCTGCCCCCTACCCCCATTTATCTCTTTCTCTCTCTCTGTCTCTGTCTTTCAAATAAGTAAATAACTTTTATAAGAAATACTAGAACTTGTCCCTCTCAATTTTGGAATTTCGAATCAGATATTTTACAGCACATTAATTGACTACAGAAAGAACCCAAACATAGTATAATCTGAGGTTTAAAATCAAATATGATAACCTTTGGTTTTACAGGTATATGAACATGTCTATGAGACTGTTGACATCAGTAGCAGCCCTGAAGTGAGAGCTAATGCAACTGCAAAGGTAAATTTTTTCATTTACAAAAGTAAGAACTCCTTATAAATTACATGTTTAAAATATGTGATTAATAGATTCATAAGCTTATTTTGAAAACCAATATACAATATCTTTAAAACTACACAAAATATTTCAGGTACTTAAAAATAGAATACATTTTTTAATTGGCTTATAGGATATTTTATCATGAAGGTAATGTACTGACAATGTACTTACACAAATATTATACACATCATGCAGAAATAATATATTACCCATGCGTAATTAATTATGCAGACTTTCATCAAAATTCTGAGTTATGAATTACTGAACACATTTAATGGTAAAGAAGCAATATTTATAGATTACTTGCCTAAAATCACATAAATAGTAAATGGGAGAGCTAGAGTATTTCTCTAGGTTTCTGTTTGCTTTCTGTTTTGCGTAGCTCTGCAAATATATAGAAGAATGTCAGGAGTTATGAAGGTTACCTCTTCATAGCTGCAGGTAGCAGGTTTGTCCTCAAATAATTCAAGCATTGACCAGTGTCTATCATATGGTTAGAATAAATTAATATAAGCTAATAGGTAACTTATACTAGAAATAGTCATTAGCCTATAAGTTTTCATTGATAGCTCACAAAAGGAAGCGCTAGACACTCTGTTGAATACAAACATTTAGCCGTGTGGGTATAGTTTGGCAGAACTGAAAACAGCAAAAGAAACTTGGTGTTTATTCTTATAGAGTTATAGGACCTTTGAGCCTTAGTCCCATCAACTCTAGAATAAGGCCTTTTCACAGCTTCACAGATAGTATTCAACAGATCTTGGTTTACTTCCTCCCCATTCCCATTTTGTCCATGTGTCCTGATGTATCCTGAGCCATCATGAAAAAAATGGCACAGTCTTGATTAAGCCACCACTTGTGATGCTGGAGTCCCAGCTGCTCTGCTTACAACTCAGCTTCCTCCTATTGCGTCTGGGAAGACAACAAATGGCAGCCCAAGTGCTTGAGCCTATATCATTCATATGGGAGACCTGGATGGAGTTCCTGGCTCCTGGCCCAGACCTGGCTGTTGTGACCACTGGGGAGTGAACCAATGAATGGGAGAGCTCTCTCTGTCTCTCCCTCTTATCACTCTGCTTTTCAAGTAAATAAATTTTTAAAAGGCGCCAAATTACTTAATTACCCTTAAAAGCAAAGAGAAACAAAAAATACCAATTTTTTGTTGGAATTAGTCTACATTAGTCTAAATTTGAGTTTAAAAGATATTTTGGCTGTTTCATCTTCTGGTTTTCTTAGTTTTTTAGTTGTAACTAGTTAGCCAAGGCAACCAAAAAACACATTGATAATAAGCACTCCTCTTTTTCTCAATATTTATTTTTTAATCTATTAGTTATTTAGCATATAATACAAATAGTGTAGAAGCCAAAATGACTACATAGAAGGACACTTCCCTGTAAGTAACGTAGGCAGGTTATGTTCTGCAAAAAGGCCCCTAAAGGAGCTGGGCCATCTGCCTCTACAGCTCAGGGCTACCAGCATGCAGGGGGACAGTCTCCTCATTAATTTATAGAGTGTCCATCTGCCCAGCAAGCCTGCTTGTCAAGCTTTGTGAAAATGCAGCTGCACAGAAGTTCTGGCCGCTGAGCAAGCTATGACAGACCTGAAACATCTTAATATTTACTACATACTTTTCAGTTGGTATCTCTAAAGAGCCCTTCTGCTTGGCATACTTCTCAGAACCACCTGTGGATTTATGAGCATTTAGACATTAAAATATATGCCCTCAGTAGTTTTAGGACAAGCTTTGTGACAGCACGTTAAACTGCCCCTTGTAGTGCTGAGGTGCTTGTTTGAGTCCCAGCTGCCCTGCTTCCTATCCAGCTTCCTACTCATACAACTGCAAAGGCAATGGAAGACTACGCATGTGAGAAACGAGTTCCTCACCCCTGGGTTCAGCGTGGCTCAGAACTGGCTGCTGTGGTCATTCAGGTAGTGAATCAATGGATGGAAGATCTCTGTTATCTCCTTGTCAATCAAATGATTAATAATAAATAAAAAAAATGTTAAGTTTTATTGATGTATTTACTTGAAAGGCAGAGAGAGAGAGAGAGGGAAAAACAGAAAGGTCTTCCATCTGCTAGTTCACTCCCTGAGTGGCTGCAAAGGCTGGAGCTGGGCCAGGCCGAAGTTGGAAGCCTGTACCTTGTTCCAGGTCTCACATACCTGGGTGACTGGAGCCGAAATACCTGGGCCATTTTCTGCTGCTTTCCTAGACACATTACTTTAGCAAGGAGCTGGATGAGAAGTGGAGCCGATGGGATTTGAACCAGCACCCATATGAGATGCCAGCATTGAAGGCAAAGCTTCAACCTCTGTCCCACAATGCTGGCCCCTAAATCTTTCTCTTTAAGTAGTTTTTAAAAGAGACAAAAGAGCTGAAGTAAGCAAAGGTCAGTTTTAAATATGTAAAATTTTATTTTAGGCTACGGTTGCTGCATTTGCTGCCAGTGAAGGACATTCTCATCCCCGAGTTGTTGAGCTACCAAAAACAGAAGAAGGCCTTGGATTCAATATTATGGGAGGCAAAGAACAAAACTCTCCAATATATATATCTCGAATAATTCCGGGTGGAATTGCTGATAGGCATGGAGGCCTCAAACGAGGAGATCAACTCCTGTCTGTGAATGGAGTGGTAAGAATGAGTTTTATTTCTGTTTGTAGTGATATATTGTGACCAGTTGGGGGTGTATTTGAGTTACAGAAATAAAATGTAGGAAAAAGCTAAGAAACTTTAAGAATCCCTTGAAAGGACAGGTAGTACTATTTAGTCCAGTGATCCTTTTTTTTTTTTTTAATTAATTTATTTATTTTTTGACAGGCAGAGTGGACAGTGAGAGAGAGAGAGACAGAGAGAAAGGTCTTCCTTTACCTTTGGTTCACCCTCCAGTGGCCGCTGTGGTCGGCGCGCTGCAGCCGGTGCACTGCGCTGATCTGAAGCCAGGAGCCAGGTACTTATCCTGGTCTCCCATGGGGTGCAGGGCCCAAGCACTTGGGCCATCCTCCACTGCACTCCCGGGCCACAGCAGAGAGCTGGCCTGGAAGAGGGGCAACCAGGACAGAATCCGGCACCCCGACCGGGACTAGAACCCGGTGTGCTGGCGCCGCAAGGTGGAGGATTAGCCTAGTGAGCCGCGGCACCGGCTCCACTGATCCTTTTTAAAGCTTTTAAGTGTGCTTTGCTTCTTTCCGATGTAAATTAGCAGTGTTTAACATGGCTTATATGACATAATTAAGCTCTTCAGTAGTGAAATACAATACATTAAATTAGTACTGTGCCCTAATTAGATAAATGCAGTTGCTGGATATATTGGCAATAATAGGATTTTAATAAATGAATGATTTGAGACTTAAAAAAACAGTTCCTAAACTATAAACAGAATTGATACAGCATAGAATTTTATACTAATTAAGATGATAAAGTAGGATTGTTTCTTAGCTTTATAGTGTTGATATTATATAGCACTGAAACTTTTTTACTTAAAAATTATTGTTTTTTTAACTACTTACAAAAGCTAGATACTAATTTTATACCTGTGTGTTTTATTGTAGAGCGTTGAAGGAGAACATCATGAAAAAGCTGTAGAACTGCTGAAAGCAGCTCAAGGAAAGGTTAAATTAGTAGTACGATATACACCCAAAGTCCTAGAAGAAATGGAGTCACGTTTTGAAAAAATGAGATCAGCAAAACGCAGGCAACAGACCTAATACAGTTCAAACTTTGTATTGCAGTTTGCTTTTTAGCTAGAGAAGTTTTACTTGTGACCTACTGAGGGCCGCAATGCCAGTGATTGTAAAAACAAACAAATTTCCCGTGAGATCCTTCTTACCATTTTATAAATACCTATTTTAACATTATTTATGGTTCCAGAGATGCATACACTTTTTTCTGATGAGAAAAAGTAAAAGGTGATGAGGGCGATTGTGTCCTGCTGTTTTTACAGGCCTTTTTCAAATGCAGATTTTGTCATAAAATTGTTATAGATTTTTTAAAATGCTTTTTTAATATTAAAATGTACTTTTACATTCTTAATCTTTTTTTAGGAAAAAATGTTTTCTTCATTTGGCTACATATTTAAAATAATAGTTCACCAGTTCTTTTTTCGCTTACTCTATTTTTTTTAATCTGTAAAATTTCTTTACAGTTTTCCAAGAAATTAAACTTAACAGTCTCACCTATAGCAGTTCATTAAATTGTCAGTGTTAACATCACTGCTGCATTTTGTACTTTGAACACACACATAATATATATATACTCAATGGTAAATCATAACTCAGCACAGTGGAAGTTTTTAATTTAAGCATAATGTATAATGGATATTCATTTATACTGATTTATACAAATTTTTAAACACTGAAACAATCATTGCTGAAATATGTATTCTTTCATAATATTTGAGCAGTAAGGCAAAAGGATGTAATTTGATTGTTAACATTACTAATTACATCCCTTTCTATTTATATTCAATATATCATAAATTATAAATGCAAACAGGTTCAGATTTCTTCTTTTGCAAATTTTTTTAATGCTATTCATTTTTATTTAAATAAATTTCTTATATTTTGGTCCTTCCATTCCTAAAAATGAGCCAGTTAGTTTGTGGTTGGAAATGGCAGAAGCGAAGAGGAAAAAGTAATACTTTTAATCTCCCTAGCCTCAAGAGTTGTACATTCTTACTAGTTCAATTGAAAAAACTGATTTTCAATAGGAAGAAGAGAGAAGGATTTATTTAAGATATATAGAAATTAATGATGTAATGTATTCATAAGAATCTATGGACTGTGTCAAAATGAGTAGGAACTATTAAAAATGATTGGATTTAGAGATGCAATCTTTGTTTATGGTCAAATATAATGATAGGAATTTTGAGAGATACTTTATTTCATTTGTCCACTGGATGTCACTGTTTTACTAAAAGGCAGCTATTAGTGTATGATTGTGACTGGGATCTAAAAGGCTGAAATTAGAGTTTGTTTTCAGTCACAACTTATAGGAAGTTTCCTGCTTTTCACAATATTGTAAGTGACAAGCAGAAAAGAAGATAGTGGATTAAAATGTATGAGAAATTTGGCATAATTATTGACCCTATATTTGAAAAGTGGGCATTTTGTAACATTCCTTCAGGATGACTAGAAATGTATACCTTTTTCTGCATGTTTGTGAGCACTGTGATTCTTAAAAGATTATTCCAGGTTTCAGTGATTTTTCAGAATAAAAGTCAATCAGCATTGTTATTTATCATTTAGGTATTGAACACTGGATTGCATGGTTGAATGTGTCTTAGTCCACTACAAAATGTGCTTGTTATTGATAGGATCATGTTAAATTGTATATTTTCAAAATTGATGTTTTTAAAATGTTGAGACCAAAGTAGTATAGAAGAATTATGGACTTATTTTAATTTAATTGTAAAATTATTAGTTGTAGAGCTTTATATATTAAAGAGAGGTATTGGTGCATATGAAAACAGTAATATTATTGTTATGCTCGTATTCTTGCATTACAGGGTAAGTAAACCCTGAAGAAACCCTATTTTAGTGTAACTACAGCTGCAGTAGCTTTTAAGAACATATCAACATTTCATTATAAATTACAGCTTCCTGGTTCAGTGTCTCAGCTGTTTCAGAACTTCCAGCCAAGTTAAATCGTTTTGGTGTTGAAACTTAGTAAGTTGAGTAAGCGTTTTTTCTACAGTAATCCACAATCTGTTCTTTGTGTGGGTTGGCACCTATTTATATTTCTTAAAATAAGGATAGCTTGAAGGAGCCAAATACAGTAGTTTTGCTTGCTCCTGTTGAGCATGAGTAGCAGTAGTTTGTTTTCATCATTAATGCAGTTTTCTAGTGTCTCCCAGAATTTTAAATCTTGACCACAGAGAAATTCAATCCTTCAGTGGCAAAGATGTATAGTAGTGGTCTAGTATAGAAAGGAAATGAAGGGAATTTTCATCTTATAAAAGAATGGTTCATGAATAAAACTAGGCATATAGTAAGTATATAGTAGGTGTTTGATTTATAGGTTACAAGTATAAATTATCCACCTGCTCCAGTTTCCACTTATTGTCTTGATATTTCAAAATGGGTTGACTAAAACTTTTGCTGCACATCAGAGCACCCTACAGAACTTGAAGAATATTGATACCTATTAACTACTAAGTCAGAAGCACTCATTTTTTTTTCATTTATTTAAATGAATGCTTTTTTTTAACTTTATTTAATGAATATGAATTTCCAAAGTACAGCTTATGGATTACAATGGCTTCTCCCCCCATAACTTCCCTCCCACCCGCAACCCTCCCCTTTCCCACTCCCTCTCCCCTTCCATTCACATCAAGATTTATTTTCAATTCTCTTTATATACAGAAGATCAGTTTAGCATACATTAAGTAAAGATTTCAACAGTTGAAGCACTCATTTTTTTAAACCTTTCCTGGTGATTCTAATGGACACCCAGAGCTGAGAACCAATAGTTTTCACCTTTGTAAAATGATCTAATTACACTGGATTCTGTTTGGAAGTATTGGAATGGAATAATTCAATTTGCAGCTATTTAATGATTGATTATATTTCTTAAGCATTAAAGGCAACTTGGCATTCCTTATTTGGAAAGTAATTGCAGTCTACTTTTTTAAAAATAAATTTACCAGTAGTTTAAAAGTAATCTTTTAGTATATGTCATCTTTATGCCCCATTGCCCTTAAAACTTAGAAAAATAAGTGTTTATTATTTGAAAAAGCATGTTTAAAAATTGCAGGTGAGAAATGTTGTCAATGATAATTACTTGCTGTCTTAATATGGCCACTTTAACCATTTATTGAATTAAAGTGGCCTTGTATTGTAGGGTTTGATGATTCAGATGTGTTCTTTAAAAATATCATTGTCCTTCTCTTCTAAATTTCTAAAAGCTTTCTGGTCAAGAACTTAAGTAGTTTGGCTCAAATACTGTGTTTATAATTAAAATGGATATTACATCATTTAATAGAAGAAATGGTTATGGCTTATCTGAAAAGAATGTCAGCATGGCTTGGTATAGACTTAAAAGAGTACATGTTGTGAAAATTTTATAATGTGGAATGATCATTGAAATATCAAGGACTTTAGTAATTGTATTTCCTGAATAAATGTATGTTTATGAATTTTCTAACTTACATTTTGTTGTCTCTGCTAATAATAATTATCCCAAACTCACTAGCTTTGTTCCTTAAAGGTTGTTGCAGTAGTGGAAAATTAGTGGAAAGAAACAAATCAGTTACTGACTCACTAATTTTCAACACTTTCAAACTAATTTGTATTTGGACATGGTTTTTAAAAATATTGAGAAGTAGTATACTTTTTAGTTAATATCCTAAATGATATGAAATAACACTTTTTCAATAGATCACTTCATTTATGAGTTTAATTCTGATCTAAGGCTTATTTAAAATAAATTTGTATTAGTCATGTCCTTGTTCACTGGGTTTGAAAAATTTACCACCATACCATGGATACGTTTCTGAAAACTTTTTTACATAAAGTAAAAGCATAATCTGCTGATTGTTAAAATGAAACTTCAGATTTTTATATTTTGCTTTGTCTTTTATAAAAGATAACCTCAGAAAAAAAATTCCCTATTTCCAAGCAGGCTGTATGGTATGTGATTGACAGCACAGACTATGGAGCCCAGCTATTCTTATTTGAATTGCAGTTCCACCCTTACTGTGTAATCTTAATCAAGTTCCCTGATTGTTCTGTGCCTTAGCTCCCTCATCTCTCATCTGCAGTAAATGTGCTTGCAAGTATTGTGCCAGTATCTAAAGCCCTTAGAGAGGTGCCTATTTCTATTTGCTGTTTTTTTCATGTAAAGTAGCATTAGGACCTTGTTTGCTAAAGGAAAAATTGTCAAGTAGTAAATTAGCAGGTTCTTATTGTCGATACCCAGAAAACATACCTTTAAGTTAAGTTTGAAAAAAGATAGGAAGAGCAGAATTCATTAGGAATTTTCAGATTTCTGTCTACTCTGATTAAAAACTTCATGGAATTTCAAGATTATTGGAGTTTTGAGAGGTGGAGGATTGAGAACACTTTCAGAATGAAAATCATTGGAAAATAAGTTCAAGTGAGAGATTTGGAAAATCAGAAAACTAATTTGTAAAGAAATGACCCAGCTGTGAGAGACAGTGGATTGTAGGAATAGGTGTCAATACAAGGCTTAATCACTGCCATGAACATGTTAAAGCATGGAAATGTATCAAGCAATAAAATGCCTTCATAGAAGGGTTTTTGACTGAGAAAGGATGAAACCCGGGTCTTTGGGGGTGAGGAGAAGCTGGAGTCTTTGTTTTCTGTGGTTGAAATGTTTCTGTGGACACCTGTGTGTAGGTGTGTAACTGCTGTGCTTTCAAGTGGCCACCTGGGCTTATTGGCCACTCAGAACCTAAAGCTTTTTCCTCCTGTTAGACTATTGGCTGTTAACATGGCTTCATGTTTTTCAGCTCTTAGGGCTCTCTGAGAGTTGTCATTGTCAAGGCAATGTCTCCTTCAACACTGAAGAGAGATGTTTCTGTAGCACCCCTCGCTCCATTTGGTGTGTGATGAGAGTTTTTCTTTGGCTGCAGAGACTGGACTCTGAAGGTTTGTGCAGACTCCTTAGGATCCATGAAACTTATACAAAACATTAATTCAACTAGAGCTAGCTGTGTTGCTTCCACCTTAAAACTTTCCATAGTATTTGGGATATGGTCCAAATGCCTTAAAAAAGGAAGAAAAGTTGGGGCCGGCACTGTGGCCTAGTGGGCTAAGCCTCCACCTGTGGTGCCAGCATCCCATATGGATGCTGGTTTGTGTCCTGGCTGTTCCACTTACAATCCAGCTCTCTGCTATGGTCTGAGAAAGCAGTGGAAGATGGCTCAAGTACTTGGGCCCCTACACCTACGTGGGAGACCCAGAAGAAGCTCCTGGCTCCTGGCTTCCAGTCGGCTCAGCTCCAGCCGTTGTGGCCATTTGGGGAGTGAACCAGACCTCCCACTCTGTTTCTCCCCCTCTCTGTGACTCTACCTCTCGAATAAATAAATAAATTATAAAATTAAAAAAAAAAAAAAGGAAAGTTTAAGATGGGGGTGGTTAAGGGAGCAGGTATTTGATACAGCAGTTAGGTCACCCCTTGGGATGCTCACATTCCATGTCAGAGTACCTGATCCAAGTTCTGCCTTCTCTGCTTCCAGTCCAGCTTCCTGCAAATGCACATGCTGGGAGGCAACAGGTGCTTGGGTCCCTGCCTTCCACATGGGAGATGTGGATGAAGTTTTGGGCTTCTGGCTTTGGCCTGGCTGTTGCAGGCATTTGGGAGTGAACTAGCAGATGGAGAATGTCTTCCTCTCTCTACCTTTCAAATATGTGAAAATAAAAATTAAAGAAAACCTTGCCATGACTGAAGACGTCCAGCATAATCCATTCCTTACTTCCTCTCAGGCATCATCTCATTCCACTGCCCCACTTGTTCTACCCCATACCAAATCCCCCTTACTGGAAAGCTTTCCCTCTAATTCTCCAACCAACAGGTGGCTCTTCATTCAGAAGTCAGCAGAAGTAACCTTTTGTCCCCTCCTAAAGGTAGGTTCTTCAGCCTTTGTGAATTTGGCAACACTTTGTTTCTATTTTAATTTGCTTAATTGTATCCTCTCCATCAGAACTTAAGTTCCATCCCAGCAAGAAAGATCACAACAG